TTTCATAAGCATGTCATATTACAACCATGCCTATTCAATAATTCATAAGCATTCAATATTTCATAACAGGGCAGGAATTTCAGTGTAACCGTCTTTTAGAAAAATGAGCACAATTTTCCCTTTATAGGGAATTTCAACATGGTTTCGAAATCATTTTCGAAGTAAACTCACCTATATTTCATTTAAAAGTGGTTTGAGCGCAATTGGACATGATTTTCTTAGTAAACAGTTCATTACAAAAATGTGTAACAGCTTTGAAAATTCCCTGCATTCATAATAGTGACTTATTCATAGAAAAAAGGGCATAATTTCCAAACCACAAAGAATTTCGGCATGGTTCCAAAACATTTTTGAAGTAGACACACTCATAATTCATTTAAAAATGGTTTATGCTCATTTGGACATGATTTGGCTGATAAACACTTCATTACAAAAATATGCATAGTTTCTATAATTTCGATTCCACATCTTGGCATACCCCATAAAATGATTAATAATTTCCAAACCAAAATAGGTATTAACAGAAGATCCTTCTCTCTTAAAATAGATTCATATGGATGCTTCCCCACCAAATTTCATAACCAATAGAATTATATTCAATGCTCAATCTATCATGCAAATAAGAGTCACAATCCTGGAAAACTAGGGCACATTCTAGCATAAATTCAATAGTATGCATCCTCATCCATATTACAAAATCATACTTATAGTCATGCTGAAATTTCATGATTTAACAAACTTATGGAGACATAGATGCTAGATCTACTTACTTGTACCCAAAAGTATTCCAAGTTTTCCCACACATGTCAAGCCTCCAAGCTTCCAAGAATGGTTCCAAGAGGCTGAGGCTCTAAGTGCTTGAAAGGGAGGTCATGAGAGAGAGATAGAGGGCAAAAGTCTATGGAGGGATGAGAAGGGCAGTACTTATAAGCAAAGAGGGGGAGGCAGCAGGCAGATCGCATGCAAGGGCTCATAGGTGGCAAACTGAGGTAGACAAGTGGCATTCAGTGGCATCCAGGTAGCTTCCTGTGGCATCCAAGTGGAAAATATGCATAAAAATTCCCTAGGCATCCATGCTCGGCAGTAACACCCACGACAGTGTCGTGCTCAGTGGCATAACGCGCGGTAGTGATGCACACGGCGGCATCTTTCTTCGTCACGCATGGAAATATTCTCTTTCTTTGTTTCACACGGTGGCATTCTCTCTCTTCATTGCACTGGTGGTGTCTCCCTCTTCGTCATGCACAGCAGCATTCTCTCTCTTCATCACGCACAGCAATGTCCTTCTCTCTTCATCGCGCACAACAGCTTTCTCTCTTACACGCACGGTGGTATCCCTTGAGTACACGGTGGCTTGCTCTCTTCGTCGCGAACAGTGGCTTGCTCTCTTACACGTACGGCGGCATCCCTTGCACACACGACAGCTAATTACCTGAAAACCTTGATCCTTACATCATCCCCCCCCCCCTCTTTAAAAAGGATTTTGTCCCAAAATCGTACTTCTGCTAATCAAACAAACAGAGGTACTTATCCCAGATCTTATCTTCCCATTCCCAGGTCGACTCTTCTTGTGAATGGTATTGCCATAAAACACGGACTAGAGGGATCTCCTTATTGAGCAATACTTGCACTCTTCTGTCTAGTATTTCAATTGGCTATTCGATGAAGGTCAGGTCTTTTTTGATCGGAATTGGTTCATACTCCAAAACGTGGGACAGGTTAAGTTGGTACTTCCTTAACAGGGATACATGAAAGACATTGTGGATGTTCACCAACTCGGGTGGTAGGGCAAGTCGATAAGCCACGCCTCCAACTCTTTCTACAATTTCAAAAGGGCCAATATAACGGGGGCTTAATTTCCCTTTTTTGCTGAATCTCATAATGCCCTTAGTTTGCGATACCTTCAAGAAAACCTGATCACCCACCTCAAACTCGATGTCTCTTCTTCGGTTGTCGACATAACTCTTCTGCCGACTCTGAGCTGTCTTGAGCCTCTCTCAAATCAAAGAAATTTTTTCTGAGGTCACCTGGCTTAAAAGCCTTCTTTCATCAATCTCATTCTAATAAATGGGTGACCTGCACTTCCTTCCATATGGGGCCTCAAAAGGCGCCATATGAATATTGGCTTGGAAGCTGTTGTTATGAGCAAATTTAATCAGAGGTAAGTGATCATCCCAGCTCCCCTTAAAATCAAGGACACAAGCCCTTAACATATCTTCCAGGGTCTGAATGGTTCTCTCTGATTGTCCAATAGTCTGGGGGTGGAATGCAGTGTTAAAAGTAATTCTCATCCATAAGGCTGACTGCAAGCTAGCCCAAAACCTAGAGGTAAATCTAGTGTCCCCTTCAGACACGATGCTGATTGGTATACAATGTAACCTCACAATCTCCTTGATGTATAAATGGGCCAGTTTATCCAAGGTGTAGGTCGTGCGGACCAGCCAGAAGTGGGCAGCTTTGGTCAGTCGGTCCACAACGACCTAAATAATATCATGCCCCGAACTTGTTCTAAGAAAACCAGAGACAAAGTCCATAGCAATGTGTTCCCATTTCCATTCCGGAATGGGTAAGGGCTACAACAATTCAGCGGGTCTCTGATGCTCAACTTTCACTTGCTGGCATATCAAGCACTTAGAAACAAATAGTGCTACTTCATTTTTCATGTTATTCCACCAAAAAGTTTTCTTTAAATCCTGATACATCTTAGTACTCCCGGGATGTATAGTATAACGTGAGCGGTGAATTTCCTCCAAAATAATTCTTTTCATATCCTCATCATTCAGGATACAAACCTGATTTTTGAATTTCAACAAGTCGTCACTGCTCATAGAGAAATCATCTTTCCTTCCTAGCTTCATCTCTTCCAAAATTTTCATGAGCTGGGAATCCTTCTTCTGTGCCAGCCAGATTTGTTGAAAAAGTTGGGGCTCTATCCTTATGTGTGTTGTCATACTTACCCCATCACCAAGGATCGGAGCTAAGTGCCATCTCACTACATCCTTTAACAACTTCATCTCTCGGGTCATTAGATGAGCTATTAATATTGCAGGCTTTCTGCTCAAAGCATCTACTACTACATTAGTCATGCCCCAGTGATAATTGATCGCACAATCATAATCATTCAATAAGTCCACCCATCTCCTTTGCCTTATGTTCAACTCCTTCTGGCAAAACAGATACTTGAGACTCTTATGATCCGTAAATACCTTAAACTGGGCCCCATAGAGGCAGTGTCTCTAGATTTTCAAGGCAAACACTATAGCCTCAAGTTCCAAATCATGGGTTGGATAATTTTGCTCATAGGGTTTCAACTGTCTGGAGGCATTAGCAATGACTTTCCCTTGTTACATAAGCACACACCTGAGCCCTTAGTGTAAATCGCAAAATCCTCATTTCCTTTCGGTAAGTTCAGTATCGGTGTCGTAGTCAGTCTATTATTTAAAATCCTTCTACAAAGCGTCTGTAATAACCTGTTAACCCTAGAAAACTATGGACCTCTGACACATTTCTCGGTCTTCCACACTTAAGTACGGCTTCGATCTTATAAGGGTCAACTGCGACCCCGTCCTTAGAAACAACATGTTCAAGGAAGGCCACGCTGAGAAGCCAAAACTCATTCTCGCTTAAGGACCACTCTCAGATGTTGCTCATGCTCTTCAAGGCTCTTTGAATACACCCAAATATCATCAATAAAGCCACCACAAAGTTATCTAGAAAGGGTCTAACAATTATATTCATCAAATCCATTAAAATAGCTGGGGCATTAGTCAATTCAAACGGCATTACCAAAAACTCATAGTGGCCATATTGGGTTCTGAAAGTGGTCTTGGGAACATCTCCCTCATTGACCCGCAGTTGATGATAACCCGATCAGCGATTAATCTTAGAGAATACTTGGGCTCCTTGAAGCTGGGCAAATAAGTCATCAATCCTAGGCAGCGGATATATGTTCTTCACGTTACTTGATTCAACTGCTTATAGTCTATATAGAGTCTCATGGACCCATCCTTCTTTTTCACAAATAGAACCGGCGCACCCCAAGGTGACACACAGGGTCGGATGAGCCCCTTATCCAACAATTCCTGTAATTGCTCTTTCAATTCTTTCAATTCTGTTGGGGCCATTCCATAAGGGGCCTTAGAGATGGGAGCAGTACCAAGGGCCCACATCTATCTCAAACTCTATCTCCCTCACTGGAGGCAACGATGACAACTCTTCGGAAAGACCTCTAGGTATTCTCTTACCACTGGTATTTCTTCTAACTTGGACTAGACATCCTGATTTTCTACAACATAGGCTAAGTATCCAACACATCTTTTAGCCAAGAGATGGTAAGCCCGAAGGACCGAAATAAACTGCAGAGGGGAAGCATCTTTGGCACCGATAAGGTATAACTCAGATCGGTTCGGGTGTCTAAGGGTTACAGTTTTATCATGGTAGTTAATAGTAGCATGATGTGTGGACAACCAGTTCATGCCCAAGATAACATCAAAGTCCTGAATATCTAAAAGTATCAAGTCTATGGGCATGACACACCGTTCAAGAAAAACTCCACATTGTTTATATACCACATCAGTTTCCATAGAATCCCCCATAGGTGTGCATACTACTAAAGTCCAATCAAGAAGTGAAGGTTCAACATTTATGTGATATGTAAAGTGAGGTGCAACAAAAGAATGAGAAGAACCAGAGTCTATCAAAATTTTAGCTTCTCTACCACAAAGAGAGAGCATACCTCGGATCATTGAGGTAGATGCCTTAGCTTCCTGCTCCATGAGTGCAAACACCCGACCTTGAGTCTTTGGTCAATTCTCAGGCCTCTTCATCGAGCAGTCCTTGATTAGGTGGCCAAGCTTTCCACAACCAAAACAAGTTTTCGACTTCTTATGACACTCAGTCGTCAAGTGGTTACTCATTTCGTAGTACGCGCAGGTCGGGCGTCGATTATCCCTCACATCGCACGGGAAGGTCTTTTGGATTTTCTGGTTGGCCTGATTAGCCTAACCCCTAAAGTCTCTCCTAGGAGGTGGCCTAATCCTCCTCCCAAAACTCCCAAACGGTGCAGATCTTACTTTTCCTTCCTTCCTTAAACAAAACTCTTCACAATCCCTCTCAAACTTCATATCAACGCCCACTAATGGGGAGAACATCTTGAGATTAGCTGATATTACTCTTCCTCCTATATCTGACCGAAGGCCCCTTTCAAACTTGCTTGCCTTACGCGCCTCTATATTGATGACGTGCGGCGCATAACAGGAGAGCTCTGCGAATTTTGCTGCATATTGTTCCACTGACAGTTTCCCTTGTTGCAGCTGAATAAATTCCACTTCTTTTCTCTCTCGGACTGAGTCAGGGAAGTATTTCTGATTAAATGCTACTAGAAAACTCTCCCAAGTTGCCTCAGTCTCTGTCTCTTCCCAGGATCGCCTCACCGAACTCCACCAGTGCTTGGCATCCTCTTCTAACATAAAAGTCTCAAGTCTCACCTTCTGTTCGTCAGAACAATGCAACACTTCAAATATCTTCTCTACTTGCCTCCTCCATTGTTTAGCTTTTTCCACTCCTCCGTGTCTCGAGAATGCAGAAGGGCCAAGTCTCCTAAACCTCTCAATCAAACCACTGTCATCTTGGCCTGGGGCAGAGGCAGCCGAAGGCGTCATATAATCCTTCATCATTTGAGTCATAGCCCCGAGTGTCTTGAAGAATTCCCCCAAGGTCTCCGTGTTCTCATTGTTAGAACTCACATTGTTGGCACGAGTCCTCGTCATCTTGACCTAAAAAAAGAACACCCAGTACTGGCCTATCCAAAAGCCATTTTAAGGACACTTCTAAGACTCTCTCGGCCAACAATCCTATCATGGATGTTCTGGTGCCATAAATTATCACAGCCCCACCCCCTGCCTCCATACCGTACTTTCCAGAGAGTAAAGGGTGCGGGACTGCGACCAGAGGTAGCAAAAGCCACTCGGGTGGGAGAGTGCTCAATGCTTTTGAAAAGAAGGAATCAAGCAAACCACGAAAGAAAACAAAATCTCCAAGCACAACCATAACAATAGCATAACAAATTAAAACCAAATTTAGATACAAGCTTCAAAATTCATTACAATTATGTCTAAAGCACCAAAGGCCCAACCACCAAAAAGACATAGCTTCACTATAAAGCAACTACATGGCCCACAACCATCTAACACCTACAATCAAAAGAAGTCTCATCGTCAAGTGCAGGTCTTTAGCCACTAGTAGCGATCGCCCCAACCGTCCACCTTGACCCGGGAGCTATTACTCTACATTGAAGAAGGTCAAAGGGATGAGCTATAAGGCCCAGTACGCAGATCATGCATCATGCATTCCTACTTATATAATGTTATTTCTAATCCTTCCCAAGATTCATGCAGGTGTCATAACGTGGAGGTGTGTATTATAATTCATTAGCAACAGTGGAATAAGCACAAATCAGAATATCACACATCTCATGAGCAACAGTCTATCCAATCTTTTAATCAAGATAACATATTAATAATTCGGGAAAATATTTATATATTAACTATAGGTAATCCTAACATCACCTACTCCTGAAGTGGAAGTCCTATCACTCAGGCCAAGCCAATCCTGTTACTTGGGACTTCTACTATTACTCAGGAGGGAAGACAATGACAAATGGATGACCCATTTCGTAATGCCTTCATGCACACATACAACCCCCAGCGTGCTTTGGGGCTTTTCGATAAGCAGATGCCTTGCAATACACGACACTCTCCTTATGCCCTTCTGGCGAGAGAGTGTCACACTACCATTAGATGAACCAATGCATAGTGCCCATAAAGATATGGGGGGCATGACCCACTCAAATATTTCATTCACATCCTAACCCCCATCCTATTATGGGGAGTCTAGGGAAGATCTCAACTGTCAGCACAATTTAGTTATTATATCACATTACACTACCAACGTGTGACCCATTGCGTAGTGCCTCATATCACATCTCTGACATGTCTGATTACAACCATGCACATTCACTATGACATAGGCATGTCTTATTATGACCATTGTACATTCAATAATTCATAAGCATTCACTCTTTCATAAGCATGTCTTATTACAACCATACCTATTCAATATTTCATAAGCATTCAATATTTCATAACCATTCACTTTCTCATAAGCATGTCTTATTACAACTATGCATATTCAATATTTCATAAGCATTTATTTACAACCATACCTATTCAATATTTCATAGGCACTCAATATTTCATAAGCATTTACTCTCTCATAAGCATGTCTTAATACAACCATGTCTATTCAATATTTCATAAGCATTCAATATTTCATATGCATTCACTATTTCATAAGCATGTCTTATTACAACCATGCCAATTCAATAATCCAAAAGCATTCAATATTTCATAAAGAGGGCAAGAATTTAAATGTAACTGTCTTTTAGAAAAACGAGCATAATTTTCCCTCCATAGGGAATTTTGGCATAGTTCCAAAACCATTTTCGAAGTAGACTCACTCATCTTTTATTTGAAAGTAGTTTGAGCTTATTTGGACATGATTGGCCAGTAAATAGTTTATTACAAAAATATATAATAGTTCTAAAAATTCCCTGCATTCACAATAGTGACTTATTCATAAACAAAAGGGCATAATTTCTAAACCACGAAGAATTTTGGCATAGTTCTGAAAATAATTTTCGCAGTAAACTCAGTCATATTTCATTTAAAAGTAATTTGAGCTCATTTTGACATGATTTAGTTAGTACATGATTCGTTACAAAAACATGCATAGTCCTTGGAATTTCAATTCCACAGCTTGGCGTACCCTATTAATAATTTCAAAAAAAAAAATGGTATTAACACATGGTCTTTTTCATCTTAAAACATATTCACATGGGTGCTTCCCCACCAAATTTCATAACAAATAGAATTATCTTCAATTCTCAATCTATCATGCAAATAAGAGTCACAGTCCTAGAAAAATAGGGCACATTCTAGCATAAATTCAATAGTATGCATCCACATCCGTATTAAAAAATCATACCTATAGAGGTGCTTAAATTCCATGATTTAACAAACTTATGGATACATAGATGCTAGATCTACTTACTTGTACCCAAAAATATTCCAAGTTTCCCGACACAGGTCAAGCTTTCAAGCTTCCAAGAATGGTTCCAAGAGGCTGAGGATCGAATTGCTTGAAAGGAAGGTCGTGAGTGTGAGAGAGAGGGAAAAAGTCTATGGAGGGTTGAGAAGGGCACTACTTATAAGAAAAGAGGGGGAGGCAGCAAGCAGGTGGCAAGCAAGGGCTCACAGGTGCTAAACAGAGGTAGACAAGTGGCATCCAGGTGGCTTACTGTGGCATCCAAGTGACAAACATGCATAAAAGTTCCCTAGGAATCCATGCTTGTCAGTAAAACCCACGGTAGTGTTGTGCTCGACAGCATCACGTGCGACAGTGACTCACACAGCGACATCTGTCTTCGTTGTGCACGGTGGCATTCTCTCTCTTCATTGCACACGACACTGTCTCTCTCTTCATCACGCATGGTGGCATTCTCTTTCTTCGTCGCACACAATGGTGTCCCTCTCTCTTCGTTGCGCACGGTGGCTTGCTCTCTTACACACATGGCGACATCCCATGCACACACGACGGCTTGCTCTCTTACACACATGGCGACATCCCATGCACGCACGACGGCTTGCTCTCTTACACGCACGGTGGCATTCTCTCTCTTCATCGTGCATGATGGTGTTCGTTTCTCTTCGTCACGCATGAAGGCTTGCTCCCTTACATGCACGGTGGCATCCCTTGCATGCACGACGGCTTCACTTCATCAACTGCCTAAAAACCTTGGTCCTTACATATCCCATAAACTAGTATTTTTTTTCTTGCTCAATAAACCAGTATTAGTATTATTTTTTACTTTTTTTAATATCTTATGAGATAGTAATATGTTTTTTAATCCCAATTAGCTAATATCTTAATAGTATTAGTATTGTTTTTGTTGGATAAGTAAATTTAAATTGTTTTGGTGAATGATAGGGGTGGTATGCCCTATTAACCAATTATTATTTTAAATAATTTTCCTCATTTGTTTCTCTTTTAAATGTTTTTCAAAAAATCACTATAAATCTCTGAAAATAATACTCTTTTATTTTCTAAAAGAAATTAAGAGTGATGTATTATGTACTTTCATTATTTTGGAAAAATAAGTGCATTAGAGATGTTGTTTTCCTGTCTAGATGTCTATAAAATAATTAATTGTAATATAATACTACAATATTATTGTTTGAGGCTATTTTTCAACACTTGTATCTCCGGTTCGAATAAGAAGAGAACAATTTGCAACCTAGGTCCGCAGGTACCAAAATACCTGTGGATTACGGGAGCCGTAGGTCAAAAAACACTGATCTGGAGTGAAATTTTCAACAGCCTCATAATGGCCAAAGAATGATTAAAAAATGTGACTAAGGGTCTCCTAAGAATACCTGCCAAGTTTCGTCACGATCCGACGAGTTTAAGGCAATGCAGATGCAAAAACAGTTTTTGAAATTTGGCCTCTAGTGCACTGAAAAAGAAATTTATAACTACAGCCCTATCACCAGAGAATCAAAATGATCGTGGTACCACTTGCAATGGATCCGAAATATTTAAAAACCTCTAGGGACTAAGTTTCAGCTTGATCGGACGTTTCTCGGTCAAGTTATAACCAAATTACCCAAAATGGGTAGGTCACACACTATTATGATGCACCCTCAGTGAACCAATTTCCATTAATGAAAATTGTGCTTTCATTAATGGGTAGGTCACACACTATTACGACCACAGCGTCAAGGGCTACACCCGAACTGAACATCGCGCGCGATGGACGGTTAGATTCGTCACACAATAGGGATAAATTTGCTACAATTTTTTGCCACCAGACAGCAAATTTTGACCAAAATACCTAATTTGAAAAATGGTTATTCGGGCACCAAATCGAGCCACGTTCATTGCTAAATGTTCATGACAACAAACTCGTCAATATGCAGCGAAGAAATCAAAGAAAAACAATAGGAAACGAGCATAATCTTGAATCAAATATCACACATTTCTCATGTTTTTCCCATGTCATGATCGCAGCCTAAAACACTGATCCATGACTCGAAATGCATACCAAAACAACTGTCTCCTCGAGCTGATCAGGAAAAGAATATTCTTTTGGCCAGACAGAGGCCAAAAACACATCGAACGAGCCATATAAGATTGTAAGAGTTGCATGGCCATGATAGGGACTAAATCGAAATTTCAAGAATTGTGGGCAAGGGGCAAAATCGTTATTTTGCTCCTATTTTCTTATTTTCAGTTAATTCATTTAAATGTTATTTTTTAACAATTAGGTCAACTATTGGACATCCACTCATGTTTGAATGACCCCTCTATAAATTCATGTGATGTAAACATTGAAAAGACCCTTTGATCAATTGAAAAATTATTGGTTGTTGTTCATCTGTGGGTCACGTTTTCCTCTTTGGAGAGAGAAATAGAGGAATGATAAGACGTTGGGCAGGTACACTTGGGACCCATCAAGGTAATTTTCTCTCTCTTCTCTTCTTTCTCTCTCCTCTTCTCTCTATCTCCTCTCCTCTTTTTCTTCCCTCATCTCACTAGGATAGCAGGGTCTGCTGCCGTCCCAAACTTTCTCTCTCTTCTTCTTTCCTTTTCTCTCTCTTCTTCTTTCCTTTTCTCTCTCTTCTTCTTTCCTTTCTCTCTTCTTTTCTTTTCT